AATTTCGTAGTAGTTTGGGATGGATTACCGACGTAATAATATCATATTCACATTACAACGGTTATCCATTCGTAATTCCGTTGATGGTTTTATAAGCAATTGATGAAATAATTTATAATAATTAATTAATTATGTCCCTGTAAACTATTGATGTGCAAATATTACTTCGAATGTATGTTAGAGTACTACAAACTCAGGAAATGTAGAAAGCCAATGTATAATTTCAGGCAATTATATAAGTGGAGGGTTCAAGTATATAAGTCGAAGGTTTAAGTCTAGTTGTTGACATATGTGAAACTAAAGAATAAATTAGATTTGCCATAAAAAAAAATAGATTCCACGAAGAAGTCTTGACAGCAAGATTTTATGTACCGGTTATATTAAAATTTTAAATATTTTATGTACTGGTTATATTAAAATTTTAAATTGTACAGAAGGCTTATGCACTAATTTGGGAACATATGCGATTAGTATGGAGTTTTAACTAACTTTGACCAAACTATATATAATTCCCCATGATTGAATTTTATTTTCTGCACAGTTTTCGGTACATGTGTTGCATACTGACTAGATTTTAGGTAACTTGAATTTGTTAATTTATGTTCGATTTCAAACTATATTTGGTATTCGCAATTATCACCAAGTTCTTAAATGTACCACGTATTTGTGTTGAAAGATTTGATGATTTATGGCAGGGACGATCGCATTCCACCAAACATGCAAATACCACCAAAAATGCAAATACCGGGTGTGTTTGACACAAAACGTTTGAGAGTGTTTAACTTTTAGTTTTTTAACAAACCGTTATAATTTAAACAAAAAACTTTATTTGGCAGTACGGGTGTTTAACTTTTAGTTTAAACAAAATGTTTTAAATCTAAAAGCTACTTCATGTAGCGTTTAACAAAATGTCACTGAGCTTTTTAAATCAATTTCTAAAATTGCCCTTAAAAATATTTTTATATATTTATCTTTTTAAATAATTATCATTTTATGTAATTTTATATATTTCAAAAGTTTTCAGCTACTTTTGCCAAACACTTATATAATAAATAAAAACAACAATTACCAGTTACATACTCGTTTTGCCAAACACACCCCTAGTGATCCTAAGAATGCTACAACCGATGCTTTTGCGGGTAAAATTTTCAATAAATTTGTTAAATACCAAATCTTTTTTATTGTTATTTAACAAAATTATCCAGTTAAGCTATCATGAATACCCATCATATCACCACACCGAAAAATATTATTGTGTCTCAAAGCTGTATCATCATAACACCCACACCGTACCATTATATGATACTTGTAGTCACCACTCCATATCACTTATTTAATTCTCATTTTCATTTTTTTAATAAAAATAATAAATGAAGCAAATAAAAATATTAGATTTAATAAAAAAACTTATAAACTAAATAAAAATAACCGAAAAAAATGAAAATTACATCTTTCTTTATTAATTGCAGATTCGTCTTTTCACCGATAAAAATATTTTTTATGTCTTCACCCTCAAGGTTGTTCGCCATCTCGATTACGGTTTCAGTTCGTTGGTGGAGTATTGAGATTTTGTTAATGGTAGCAAAGTAAAAAACATAGTATTTGAATTTAGAAAAAACTTCATAAATAGTCCATGTGGTTTTGTAGAATATAGGCTTTAGTCCCTAACTTCAAAAAACTTCATGAAAGATCCCTGAGGTTTTCAATTTCTATCATGGTTGGTCCCTCACCAACATAAAAAGACTTCTATACCCATTTTATTTCTTTTTATAATTAATTTTGACTAAAACTATTAAAAAACAAAATAAATAACTCCTATCTCTCTCCCATCTTCTTCTTCTTCTTGTTCATCACCTGCACTGCCATTCTCTACCCTTCTCTTGTTTCGGTACCCTCAACCCAATCCTCATTAACCTCTACCATGATGTGTCGCAATATGAACTCCAAGAATTGTTGTTTTCGAAAGGGAAGAATTTCATCAACATACAAACATACAAGAAAGATGTAATCAAATTCAACCTAAATGTATTGTAAACACATATGAAACTACAATTGCTTTGAAAAGAACATATCTGCAAGAGGGAGAAAGAAAACTATCCTTAAAAAATTATACAACACAAAAACAGACCCATCGATTCATCTACCAATATCCAAAAGGAACAAATCAATCACACCATTGAAGAAAAAACAATTATGTTTAAATTCAAACATATAAATATCAAATTGGATCATCAATTAAAGTTGTAAGTTTCTCGAGATGAAGAATCGCTACCAACAATCGAAAGCAAACCTCCATACATCGCCTTTTGTTCATTGAGAAACAAGTCATCTGGGCTTCTAACAACAAAAATGGGAAACAATTACCAAATTGAAACCCTAGAGATTTTGGGATGTTATTGCTAATGGATATGTAAAGGTAAAGAGGTGAAGTACTGGTTCCCATAGATTTATCCATAGATGTATCGGAAGGGACATATGCTCGAATCGGTATACATTCATTCCTTCTTTGGATGATTTTATACATTATACTAGGGTTGTGTTCTTACAAATTACAATTCGTTTATTTTGTAGCTCTGAGATCTAATCTCACATGGAAGCATTCAAATGATGTTAGGGTAATCTTGTTCAACCATTCTGATAGTGATTTGGAAGTGAAATCTGGTGATAGAATTGGGCACATGATTATTGAGAAGATAATCACGCCGGAAGTCATTAAGGTCGATGATCTTGATTCAGTTGTAAGAGGTGCATGTGGGTTTGGATCAACTGGCATTTGATTTCTTGTTTTTGACCTTAATCAAAACCACTTACACATCCTGGTTCTTTTTCCTTGGAGATGGATCAACCACCAAACTATTAAAAACACACAAAAATATAAAGCTTATTATTTCATCGTCTTCCATTAATAACAATGATTTGGGTGGGTGTGGGGTGGGGGTATAATGGTGGTTGTTAGTGGGTTTGGGTCGCAGGAAGGAAGAACAGGGGAAAGGAAGTATGTGTTCTTGATTGTGGGTTTGGGAAGAAGAAGATACAGTAGAAGTGTTTTTCCTTTACTGACGTAGTGAGGTTTAGGCGGATATATATATAGATAGATATAGATAATATAGATATAGATATATATAGAGATATATATATAACACACACACACACAACAAAAATAGGAAAAATTTATAGTTTTTTTTTTTAAATATTCTAGTTTTTTTTAATTTTTATTGATTTTTAGAAATTTATTGTTTTTAAAAAAAATGTCGTGTATTAAAAAAAATCATTTTTTTAAATTCATGTTTTCTAAAGAATATTAAAAATCTGCATTTTAAAAAAAAAATCAAAATTATTATTTTTTAAAAAAAAACTCGAAAATTTGATTTATTATGTTAATTTTTTAGATTTTTTTATTAATATTTCCAATAACACAAAAAATTAAACATTTAATAAGATTGATATGATGACGATGATGCTCTTAATGAGTTAATTTTGATTTAACGCTCCACCTTTAGTTCTCGGGTTCTTGGAAAACTATGAGTTCTTAACGGATCTCACATTTTATATATATATATATATATAGATATATATATATATATATATATATATTATATATATATATATTATATTAAAAGGAAAGATTGTTTACACCCATTCAATTCTTTTTTTATTTCATTGTATATTTAGAATTTTATTTGTATGGATAGAAGTTTCATTATTAAATGACTTTAATCCCATGAAAATAAATAAAATAACAAATATTTTTATTATGTTAGTAACTTAATATCATTGAAGTTGTCTTTTAACAACGTAATTTAGTACATTATTAATATTATTACTTTATATTTTTTATAAATAAACTAATGTAACAATACCGAATATGGTCTAAAGATTGAAATATAAAATGGAAAATTTGAAACTTTAACATTTAACAAAAATGGAAGGCGAAAAACTGAAAATTCAAATTTAAACCAATTATCAGTTTATCACACTTAATGATTGATGTGACTGCGTGTATTTTGGAATTCTTTTCGTGTAGATAGAATTACACTGTCACAAAGAAATGTGTCATTGAATGACATATCCGGCGGATATAGCCGCCAGAAATGCCACATTTTTCTAGTAGAGTGAGAGAGCATTGCCTTTGAGCGAGTCGTAATTTTGCATATACTTATAATTTGCCTTAGAGAGAGAATATATTCTTTATTGATGTTTTTTTTAACAACAATCTATATTCTTTATAGATTGATAAGTTTATGTTACAGTAAAGTAAATACAAGGTAGTATTAATAAGTTTAAAGTGATTACCTTAAGATAAAGACAAAGATAACATTTTTTTTAGTAATAATAAACAGCAAGACTTTATAACATGTAATATAAAGATAAGCCAGTCGTAATCCTAGCTACACAAATATTAATACCATGACAACGATAAAAGGAAACAATATACTAACACCAACAAAAATTCACCACCAAAACATATGTAACAGAAACTGATGATTATCTGCCAATTTTGGTTTCATTTTTTCTCGGGTTTTCTATGCTCCTAACTCTTTAATTTTTATCGTCACAGCTTTAACCGTGGTTATTCCCAAAACAAATGTTTATCTTTCATTGCTCATTTTGGTTTACATCGCTTATTCGTGGCTGCAGCCTTTTCTTCTTACTTTTGTGTTATTTCCTTTAATTTTAGTAAAATCAGTTTGTCTTGCCTAATCCAGGGAAGCAAAAATAGAGGTTTCAGCTTAAACGAGAACACAATATCAAGTTAACACAACCACCGAGTAATATTATCATAGAGTAAGTTTACAACAATCTTGGCACATCCACATAAAACCATTTAGTGGCAAGGGATGCAATCCAAGATACATACACACAAACAAGCTTTTACACAAAAATAAGAAACTATATATATATATATATATATATATATATATATATATATATATAGAGAGAGAGAGAGAGAGAGAGAGAGAGAGAGAGAGAGAGAGAGAGCAACTAGCAAGCTTGATCTGTCAAAAAAAGAAACCCTTACGAGCAGGCTTCCTTTTAGGATACTCCAGAAACACAGTCCCACCGTACATTTTGGCAGCCTCGTTGCAGTTTATGACTCTCTCAGCCCTCTTCGCAGGTATGGGAGCATCATACACTTGTTGCTGAACTACGTATGCCTGCTGGGGTTGATACTGATGGTGAAACAACTGATGTTGGATTCTACTCGGTGGAGCAGTCCCTGCTGCTGATGGAGGCTTGGAGTAATTACGCTCACTTGGGAAAATGTCATCTATGATAGCAAACGTTTCTTCCCCAATCTTAGCGAGGTCTGTTTTGTTCTTCGAATTGTATGCCATGCAGAGGAGAAGCTATGTAAGAGAGTATTGATCAGAAAGGAAGTATTAGCTGGATTTGTTGTTGTGTTTGCTTTGGGGTGCACGACAGTCGACAAGAGCCACGCATATTTATATAGAATAGTTGATGCATGTTTTGCGACAATTTTAGATATTTTATTAATTAATCTTTAATTTCTTACCTAAATTTATTCGTTTCTTTGTGTGTGGAATAATCTTTTTAATTTATTCCTTTTGGATCACAACAGTTGAAAAAGTGGTTCAATACCTTTTAAATTTATTATCATATACCCCGAATATAGTGTGCCCAAGCACCCCCAAAAAGTGAACATGAGAGTGAGAAAGAGAAAAGGTTTCAGGTCCTATCACTCTACCCAGGGGGAAGCTAGGATTTTGGAATGAGGGGCACGATAACTTTTTGATTTTTTGTTAAGAGAGAACCCGTCTAGTTTGTGTGCAATTTTTTGAGATTATTCACTAAATATTCATTGCATAAAGTAATAAAAAGTTAAACGATTAACACCCGAATAAAGTAAACAGATATTTATAAATTAATAGATGAGTAAACAAATATTTATAAATTAATAGATAAGTAACCACTAAACAATTACCGATGACGGATCAAATGTTTATAAACTTAGGTTAAATATACAAGTAAAAATCAGTTACTATGAAATGACAATTCGATGTTAGTAAAGCACATTATTTAGCAGCACCACGTGAAGGCTAAGGCTATGCCTATATGCCTATGCAGAAAATTAAGAACAAGAAATAAAAAATAAAGTTTATAAAAGGACAATCTAATACTTTAGTGGCATACATGCATTATTAATGCTAGGGATATTGGAGATTGAGAGAGAAACTCACAGGCCACAGCGATGCTGTTGAGACGACTCTTGAGAGAATAAGCTGCAAAGCAGAGGCGGACGATGGTTGACGATGGCAAAATGTCGACCGATAAGGGCAGGAGAGGACGAGATCTGGAAGATTTAGGGATCAGATCAAACCACGCAAGGATCTTCGAGAGGTTGAGCGGTGGAGGATATGCCAAACGGGTGAATCTTAGACGGTGAAATCAAAGACGTGAGTCACGGTCGTGCCCGAGCCATTACGGTCCCACCACTGACTCTACCTACTCTAGCTCGGTGCCCGAGCCATTACGGTCGTGGTGTGCCTCACCTCCATCTCAACCACCGAACCCGTTCGGGATACGTATATTAAATATCGCCTTATGTGTTGCAGGTACATATGGGAAAGGAGTAACAACTATGTTAAACGACCGTATCCCTACATGTATGCATGTCGACTTGTTCGCGTTGTTACATATACACATACAGTATATAGACCTTGGATGTATGTATAATTTCGATCCCTCTCTTTTGGACCGTATGTTGTACAAAGCGTACCCATGCACAAAGAAAACATTAGTACAAATATGGTTTTTAGTGACGCAAAAATAGTGTGACCAGGCATTTTGTGTCACTGGTTTTTTTTAGGAAATGACACAAATGCCCTACAAACTTTCTAGGATTTACCCGTTGAGTCCCTAAAGTTTTTGTCAGGCTTTATGGGTCCCTAAACTAGGATATGACGTGCTCTTTTAGTTCATGTCAACCTGTAATAGTCTGTTCAGTGATCTTTTAGACCAAAAAAACTGACATTGTGACCCTATAAAGCCAAAAAAATAAGTTCGGGGATCAATTCGTACAAAAAAAACTCTCATTCTTTTCTTCTAAAGATGATTTACACTCAATTTGTACCCTCCCAAGATATCGATCGCTGCTATTCTTTCCGTCTTCACTCTTGATTGTCACACACACTCACCGAAGATCACAACCCTCTTCCCCTTCTAATCAATTCTCGATCACAACCCCCTTCCACTATTTTCTTTGATTTGATTTCAGCTCTTCAAGGAATTGACCCATTCCTTCCTTTTTCTCTGTTCAAAATCGCACAAGCTACCTCTCCTTCTGTGACATCCCCATTTTTATGGCCAGAAAAAACCGATTTGTTTATGCTTTGTTTGAAAATCATAGTAACCATTTAAAGGAAAGTGTTGCAGAATTTGTTCCCAAAAGATAATGTGATAAAGATTTATGAAAGCATTTCCGAAGAAATGCATTTCATTATATTAAAACCTCATGATATCATGTTCGATACAGATCAAAAGATAAACAGAACAACATAGGCCTTACAAAATTTATTTATATCTACTGGCCTATAATCCATAATCCATCGTCAAGTCATCCAACTATGCTCTTGTACCGCTACCTGTAATACAAGAAACTGAGTGGGTCAGGCTTGAGAGCCTGGTGAGCACATAGGGTTTTGAACCCATAATAATAAGTTTATTAATTTCATCAAACCAAACAAACCCGATTACCCATTCCCATTATCCTCACTTTACGTCCCTAAATCCTCTAATATAAGGGACCTAGCCTAAGGATTTTCATCGGGGTGACAACACTGCTTCGGTGGTTCCTTAGCAATTTATGTCAAATAAGGAAACCATGAGGGGGTGGAGAAAAATACTGTTGGCGAACACTAAGTTCAAATAAACACCTACAGGTTGCGAGCCTGCTAGCGTTCCACTGGACTGTCTAGAATAGTCCTTGGTCGTCATCTATACTCCGCTAGATGACTGGATCATCGTAAACATCGAGGTGTCTCATCATTTTATCACACATCATCTATTTCATCTACCCATGTTATACCCAACATTTTTGTAGATATAAAATACGTATACAGTTAAATCATTTAAAACATGTATAAAAACGTTCATCCAACATAGATATCAAGTAAACAGATAATATACACACATACCACGTAATTTATATAAAATACTTCATATCTATGTGTAAGATGAAAGTAACTATGCACTCACTTGTTAAAGTGATGATTCCGAACTCAGACAACGCTTCGCTTAATTTATTTTCCTTCGACGAAACCTAGTATCATTACCACTAGATTTCAGTATAATATTTGTGAAAACAAGGATCTGATTGTGCAGGGACAAGGCTCGAAAACTCAAACCTTGAGTTAATGCTTAAGATCAATGTATGCTTCTGATTATAAGTTCCAGTCAAGTCTGGTAAGACCAGTCAAGACTTGAAGATGAAGATCAACAAAGTACTTCAAGTATTAAATATGAGACTAAGAGTGTAATCAAAGTAAAGACAATAAATGAACACAAGGAATGTTTGAAGGAATGATTTGAGAGAAAGGTGTAAGTGAAGTAAACTTGAAAATATCTATCTTTGGTGGAACAACCCGTCTATTATTCTTGTCATTAAACGCTCCTTAAATAGGAGAAGGATTACATCGTACAAACTTGAATACATACATAGGACTGGACAAAAGAGTTACATCTGACACTCTGATTATCCCTTTGACAAAATAAACTGAGTCCTATGACCGGTTCCATCAAACTAAAAGACAAGAATAATAAATGTAAAGGCAGATAGACACATTCGGAAGTATACACCATTTCAGAACATTTGCACTTGATCATTCTCTCTATTCCGGACACCAACTTGACTCCAGACCACAGACTGACTCCGGACCATGAACTGACTTCGGAACAAGACTGAATTCAGAACATTCAAGAGATAGAGATTGGTAGAGGTTCACTTTCAGGTTCCAACAATCTCCCTTAAGTGAACTTAGCAATCTAGCCAACTTTGCTCGAATCTTCCTTGAAGAACACGTACGCACGGTACAACCATTCTCTGAATCTGATGTACCATTGCAACTGATTTATGAACTTAACCTTTACGTGCTACGGTGCTTCAAACTTTGATGCTCGACTTATGAACTTCTGAAGGGCCTTGGTGGGAACCAGGTGTTTGTCTTGGACTCGGAAGAAGTCCTTCTGATTTGTTTTTCGTTGATGATAGAAAAAACCTAGTACTGGTTCATCTATAGGTCCCTCTGCCAAGATTTCAGCTTCTGGCAGTTTGAAGTCGATCTTGGCCAAGTATTTTTTTTGTTCCGAACAGATGGGCCAGCTCGTAGTCACACCGACAAAATTCAGCAACTTGGTCTTTAAGGAAGCTGAAGGCAGTGTGGTAAGCTCCCATGCTAAGATCATCATATTGGATACTTCAGAAGTGAGCAGCAATTGTCAGAATGTCGTTCGGGTTGATTGCAGGAAAGCCGGCGTCAGTGATCATTTTCTGGATTGGTTTATTTCGGAAGATGTGATACCGGAATAGTACACAGTTGAGTTCAAATTTGGTGAGGATCTTCCTTCCAAATCCGGAAATTTTGGTGATCCTTTTCCGAGACCAGACTTCTTTGAGAAGAAGTGCGTTCTTGGAATAAAAGGTCTTTAGTCTTTCACATTCAGTTCGGATGATCATATGAGGATCATCTTCCGGATGGAGAGGGGCAAATTTGGTGTAGAACTTGCTGAAGGGAGAGAGAGGCAAGTCGATCTGGTCTGAATCTTGATTCAGAAGATCATAGTACATGAAGGGTACTATGTTAACGTCCTTCAAGATTCCATCCCTGCAGAGAGGGGATATCCCTAGCATCGGATGAGGGTTATCATCCTTGTAGGATTGGATCCGGATGCTGTTTTCAAGGGCTTGATTGATCTCTTCTTGGGACCAGCCACTCCTTTCAGTCAAGTGAGGAGCGGTGTAGGAGAAGTCCGAAATGGGCTTTTTGCCCTTGTTTTTCTGTTTCTGAAGATTGGAGAGGATGTGTTGCATATTTTCATCAATGACGAACTTCGGAGGGGAGAAAGGCAGGGGCTCTTCCGGAATATCATCTGGCTTTCGGAGTGGAGAACCTTCATCAATGGGAGCATTTTTTGGATCAGGAATCGAAGGCAGCATTGAAGTAGTAGGTCGGAAAGCATCAGCAGTTAACTTGCTTTTGACCTTGGCCACTTCTATACTTCTGTGAAAAACATCAGCTAGAGTAGATGGCCATGAGACTACTGACCAGATCCTTTGCTCTTCCTCCGTTAGCACTTTAGCAGGAAATTTCCTTGGAGCTTAAAGTCCCAATACTCCGCTTGTCACAAACACATCTTCATCAACACTATTATCATCATCATCATCATTATCATCATCATCATCACCAGGAGAACCTAAAAGGATTTGTAGAGAGTCATCAGATTCATCTCGGAGTCTAAACTCTGAGACAGGTTCCCATGGTTGAGTTCTTGAGCTTGGTTCTTCTCCCCCTCTTGCAACGGATGGCCCGGAAACCGATGCAAGCATAGCAGACTCCTTCCGATCCGAAAACTTGTCAAACACCTTTTGAAAACTGGTGTTGAGCTGGAGAGTAAGTGCATCATAAGCTTTAACAGTGGGAGCATGAGCTTTGAGATGATCAAAAAGCTAGGAGAGAATGGAGAGCATCTTATCAAATTTATTGTTCGGAACATCCACGATATTCCAACATGCTCTGAGCAGCTTGATTAGAACCTGTTGCATGATGAGATTCATCTCATCTTTCTTCCGAATCTCCTTCTCTAAAAGCTGGATCTGTTTCTCATGACGAATGTGAGTTTGCTTGATTAGTTCGTTTGAAGCATTGAGCATATCGTCATGAGCTTTCAACATCTTTGTGATAGTGTCCAGATAGTGATCGATAGAAGTATCATATTTTTGTTCAACTTCTTCGATAGTATGCTTGAGCCTTAGAGAGATGAGTTGATCAAGCTGAGCTTCTCTTTCAGCAATGGTGGGTTCAGACTTGTTGGTTTCGGACAAGGAGTTAAGGATTGCGTCAAGTTTGGAATCCAGTCCGGAAACTTTAACATCGAGTCGAGTATTGAGTCCGGCCACAGAAGCTTCTATTGCATTGACTTTCTTCATTGTGTCAGAAACAGAGTCTCAGATTTCTAGATGGGCAAATGGATCGATATAGTTTCCTACTGAAGATCCGATGTCCGAAGTGGAAGTCCGGGACTTGTTCTTGTCAGCTTCTTGGTTGATTTGCTGTTCAGAGGAGCCATGATGAGTTTTATCAACATTGATGTTCTTGGGAGTGGACTCAGTTTCATCTTCAGGAGTAGCTTGGACGTGATCCTCTATATGAGTGTCTTCATCAACTGGTTCCGAAGAGGATGATGAAATTCCGAAGTCCAAATCCAGCCTAGATAAGGAAGGCTTTGAAGGAAAAGGAAATTAGGAGAACAGGTTGGGAGCAGCGATTGAGGCTCCTTCATCATCAAACATGAATTCGTCGGAATGTTCTTCATTGGGATTTGAGTGCCTGGCGTCATGAAGTTGAGTCTTGGGAGTTTCTTCGGAAGCAAACTCCAGATCGGTGACTTCATCAGTAGGGAGTTTCTTTGGATTGTCAGGGCCCAAAACTTAGGGCTTGAAATATCGTTAGGCTTCCTATTGATGGCGAACTTCCAGAAATCTTGCCATACGACTTCAGGGAGATCGACGACGTTGTCTTTGCCAGAGAAAATACTGTATACAACATACAACCAATCTTTGCTAAGAATG